AGCGCTTGCTGCGGTGGAGTCAACATCTTCGTAAAGCGTCGCTGAGCTTTCTCAAGCAGAACACGGTCTGACTTACGCAGATTGCTGCATATAAAAGAGCAATATTCTAGATGTGGCCTGACGTGACTCTTATAAAGTTCTAGCCTAGCATCGGCGGTTTCTATGCAACGGCGTATGTGGAACGATAATCATGTTACCCTTGCGACTTGATAATGCACTTGCTCTGCAAAGTTGAGGCTCATAGAGTAGCGCAAGCCCAGATCTGTTGTTATGATATCCTGTTTGATAGTGCTGCCGTTTAGTTAACATTTCGGCTCCAAAACGGCTTTGATTCCGCTTGTTTGAAGATTTACACTTTGAAATTCGCGCCAGGTTTGCGGTTCTGGTATGCTGTTTCTGGGCTATATTTTGGCTCCATTTTCCAATATTAGTGTATATTCTGGTTAAGTGGTCTGGCCTTGCAGTCGCACTTTTCTAAGAAATGCTAAGTTGTTAGCCACTACTGTTATTTCCTCGGTTTCCGCCCACCAATTTTACGATCTAATTTTGGCTTGCTTATTCCTTTCCATGAGCCCGCTACTAATTGATGCTCGAAATGCGGTAATGTGATCAAGGAAAATGGATCAAATTTTCTCTAATTGATCGTTTATAATGGAACCAGGCACCTCAAGGTTTTGGCAGCGGTAGCCGGTGAAAAGCGCAGAATTCGTACATAAGCTACGGAGACCCAAACTACTGCCTTCAAAAATGGCGGGGCCTACGAAACGTTTGTATTTATCCCTGCTTTACTGTTCGGAAAGATAAACACGATCAAAAGCAGTTGTCAACGATATTTCTTCTCCATGCATGAGCATGGATGTTATGTACAATTTGATCTGATCCCAAACAGGAACAGCATCTAGTGCTTGTCTAGAAATATACCTATATTTATTTATATTTATTTAAGTCATACTCTTTTGCTTCTATTTCTCAGGTAAAGCAGCGACCTTTCCCTTTCCTCGCTAGTACCTCATGAACAAGCATAGATTTCGGTTTCCAGCCAGCTGGGGTATAAAGCTCACTAGTTTCCACTTCAATATTACCTCTTGTCCTTACAGCCTTTCTTTTCAGCTTAATAGGCCATGGAAATTTCCAAACAGTCGATCCGAGCCTTTTTTCCGATGTGAAACGTAGCCGACAGGTTTGCTTTAAGGAAGGGGCAGTCCTTTTGAGTGTCAATAAGCCACACAGCTCCCAGCGAAATGGCGGATTATTTCTTTGTTTTTCCAGGTAGTAAGAATGTAGGTACGGTTTTTTACCCACCAGTTTGTAAGCCATCCTCCTTCTTATTTAGCAACGTCATTTCTTAATTACGCCTTAAACTATATCATTTTGATGCCAACGGTTACCATAGTTAGTATGGTATTGGTGCACACAAACACCGATGTTCAGGTAAACCCGACTAGAAAGTCACAGTCCCCGCACAGTTCTCAACACGTCCATGCAGCCAATCTGATAGCTTCGCCAACTTAAATCCACATGGTGTCCTCTGTTACTACTGACCAGCTAAAATGTTTCTAAGCTTGGACAGGTGTCAGGTTAAACAAATTTGACCTATCCCCTGTACACCTAAAGTTATGGAAACGTGTACGGTATACTTTATGCTGAACTCACTGACAAGCAAGCCAAAACGCTAGCTCACGGAGAAATGCTTTAGATTACATGATAGTTGACTGCAGGGGTATAGTATCACTTTACACTGCCCGGCAAATTAGAATGGCATATGTTTTCATCAAAACTGCGAGGCGTCACTCAGTTGTTGGCCGGGTGCCGGGTACCGAAGCAGGAAAGTAGAGGCGGCGAATGATGTGCAGCGTGACTAACGTGAGGAAGTATTGATCAGTCGGCACAATTAGTTAAAACAATGGAAAATCGAAGGTTAGAACCAAGCATAATACCGATGTCAAAAACCGCTTCTTATGCACTACAAAGCACTCACTCGTATTTTGGTTATACAACGCGGTTACACAATCCCTTGAGGTGCTAACAAAGAAAGTAGAGCAACTAGGTTGCTGCTAAGTGTAAGGTTGCACCCGCTTACACACTTTCCGACGATGGGCTCAACCGCGCTTTGTCGCTTTGACGCTTGATAGCGATTCTATTTTTTGGTTACTCTTCGGAGCTGCTAGTCCTCGTACCCGATAGGTTGTCGGCAGAAATTATATCCTGTTGTCACCCAGCAGGTTGACTTAGGGGTCGTATACTCAACAGCCGCTCATTCTGGGGGCAAGTGGAAGGTGGCTGCTTAGATGCCAGTTCGTTTGTTTGTGATATATCCGATGCTCTTTCGTAATCCTCATGGCCACTTTGTTTGTGAAGCTGATTTCGACATACTGCCGAGTCCACCTAGTATATCGCGTCCAGGCTTGTACACCATGTCCTAGACAAAATGGACTTTGAGAGGGTGTTAAGAGTGGGTATTCAGTTAGGGCAAGGTCTACGGGGCTGGACGTATTCTGAACGCTTGCGCAATTTGCGATGCACTTCATGCACCACCGAAGGCTCAGAGGGAACCTGCTTCTCACTTATCGCACTATGCCGGGTAAGCTCGGCCCGGACTTGTAAGAGCTAGTTAGTCCGGCTACTTTACTTAAGCCCCGCAGTCACACACTGAAATTGTATAAAGCACGGTCGGATAGGATGAAGACGCAAGCGCGTATATCGCGCCGGGTTATAGATGGCTAGAAGTACCTTAAATATCATGCCATTATGGAACTTACGGCTAAGCGTTTTGCGCTTTAACTTGATGCTCTTGGGTGCTGATGGTTTCCACCCACGGCTCTTGCGAGCGTGCGCTGCAGCTCTAGCTTTACCCCTAGCGGAGCTGTTCACCCACTTCTTCTTGCGAAGCAAAGTTCCCAATGATTGGAAATGTGGGACTATTACACCAATCTACAAAGGCAGTACTCGCAAAGATCCGGCCAATTACCGACCGATAACTCTCCTATCTACGATCTCCAAAGTGATGGAATCGATCGTCGCAGACGTTTTAACGGATCACATGGAAACCCAGAAACTGCTCTCTGATTGCCAGCACGGTTTCCGGCGTCAATGGTCTTGCCTGAGTAACCTGCTACTTGCCAGGGACAGCTGAACGACTGCAGCCGACTCTGGCCAAGAAACGCATGTTATCTTTCTGGATTTCGCCAAAGCCTTCGACAAGGTCGACCACAAGATTCTGCTGCGGAAACTGTCATCTTACGGCGTTTCAGGGGACTTGCTGGACTGGATCAGGAACTACCTCCAAAACCGTACCTTCCAAGTACGCGTCGACGGAGCGTTGTCTCCCCGCATCCTTGCCACAAGTGGAGTTCCACAGGGGTCTGTTCTCGGACCGCACCTCTTCCTAGCCTTCATTGACGACGTCACACCGCAAGTGGAGTCTTCGCTGCTACTATACGCGGATGACGCGAAGCTGTGGCGCACAATTAACCTTCCGGACGATGCCCACGCACTTCAGACGGACCTCGACCGTCTACATCAGTGGTCAATAGAAAATAAACTTCCATTTAACGCTTCGAAATGTCGCGTCCTTTCTACCCGCCCTTCCGCTTTTTCTCCTGTATATTACCTGGGAGCGTCTATCCTCCAGATCTCTTCAGCCGAAAGAGTCTTGGGTATCATTACACAGACGAGTCCTTCCGTCTCCGCTTCCTGCCGGAAAGCAGCTGCTGCTGCTAACCGCATGGTGGGATTGCTGAAACGAGCCTTCGGTCAAACTGACCCCAGCAATTTCCGCCCCCTCCTTGACGCTTTTCTCCGACCCCACTTGGAGTTCGCTATTCAGGCTTGGAGCCCCTGGTTGTTGAAGGACCAACGCATACTCGAAGCCCCACAACATCGAGCAACCAAACTGGTCCGAGGTCTCAAGCACCTAGATTATCCACAACGACTTCAGTGCCTGGGCCTCTACTCGCTTAAGTACCGACGTCTACGGGGCGACCTGATCCTCGTATTCATGATCTTATCCAACCCCGGACATCCCTGTCGCCACCTACTCACACTGCACCAATCGGGCTCCCGCCTACGTGGCCACCCACCGAGGCTCACACATCAGCACAGTCGGCTGAACTGCAGACGACACTACTTCGCTTTGCGAATCTGCCGACCGTGGAATGCTCTGCCGGCCGATTTAGTCTTGGCACCCACTGTGGCGGACTTTCAGGCCCGCTTGGACTGTCATCTGGCCGAGCTACACCGCGATATTCCCTAATTTAACTACATTCTACTGGATGGAATTTCTTTCTTCTTTTGTTTTCTTCCACCTTCCTATCCAAAGCCGTTTCGGAGGGCGTGGTGGGATGTCTCGCTTTGAACCGGCGTGCATTCTGTTTAAATGCCACATAAGCCCGATGAAGATACGGCTAACACGCGAGTCCAACCCGCTATAAGGTTGCTTGGCTTTTCATTAAACCCGACCCGTACTCTTTTTACCCTATGGGTCATGTAAAGCTCCAGCTTTTATTCCCATTAAATACAATGTTAGAATGTTCCTATGTACCACCAAACCATTCCGTTTTCCTAACTGACACACAAGCAATTTTCACTTCATTTTAATGTGTCAAATATCTTTGTCTTCTACTTGCTTAACACATTCCTCCTTCATACCTTAAAATTTTACCTTTCTTACTTTATTGCTTCAGGCAACCGGCCCATCAGGGTCTGTTAGGGCAGGATACGTCGGCCTTAAGTGGTTGGACAAAGTGTGAAGCGGCCTTTGTTTTAGGTCCATCATTATTTCCTAGTCTTGCAACTTCACCTTCATCGCCCCGTACAAAAGGGAACACACAGAGTAATCCTGTCGTTCCAGTCTAACTTGAACTTGAAATTGTTTAATCATGATGAAATGAGCAAATAGTGCGACATTAACCTTTAAACAAAAGTCGGCTAACGTACAATGCGTTTGTTTATTTATTTCCTTAACATAATTTACAAGCTTTCCTTTAATGCTAAAGGTGCTTTGTTTATGTTATCCAAGGAAAGGTCTAAATTGTAGGTTCTTTGCATCCGTCTTTTTAAAGACAGGAAAATGGAAAATTTTTAACATGGATTTCACACTCAGGTTGTTATGAGTAATCTGTGCGTTGTTGCACGGGTTCGGCCGTTATTTTCTGAGTGAGTGCAGTAACTTATGACTGCCATTTATTTTTGATTTTGATGGTGTTTGGAATTGCACGTGTCACCTCGTAGGTATTTAAAATCTGCATTATCCACCTGTCACTAAATTTGCTATTAACGGAGTATTTACGAATGCCAATACAACGGCTTCTTGTAAGGCTTACTAACGATGCTTTTGATGTAAGCAGACGTTTATTTGTACTGATGGTGTGCCCATTTCTGTTGTTATGTAAGATTTCAATCAGTTTCAACTCAACGGAACCTTTGTCGCTTTTTATAGGACATATCTTTTATTTGTCACTCGGTTGCACGGTGCCTCTTTAACTGGACGTTTAGCCCATGTGTAAAGTTTTTCCTTTATAATCACCACGCGGAGCCCAACCAACACAAAAACCGTAGGCGCCCTTGCGTATATTATACGATTCTTGTATAAGCTAACAAGTTGCCTAATGTATTGGTACAGATTGATGGCTAACAGTATCCGCAACGGAAGGGTACTGTTGCGCTTCCTTTTTGGTCACTGCCACAGATAACATGGGAAATTAAGGAAATTAGTTGCTCATTACGCCGAATTATGTCATAAAACGTTGTATTCATGTTTCAAAATACCGCAGATTACCTATGAGTATGCTTTTTATCAAAAAGTAATTGGAGTCAGCGTGAGTCACCTATTGTCTAGGCTGTGGTAGCTGCCGTTAAGTGACATCCTTTGCGACCCATACAGATCAAGTTTGTTGTATTTATGGCGAACATATCTACATATATAAATACTATAGTGTAGCAATAAGGCTTAAGCACTGCGTTGTAACGCATTTGAAATTGGCGTTCCGTCTGTGGAAGGCAACTACAAACAAGAAAGATACTTGCATGGCAAATGTTTGAGCTGCGCTCAAAACTGTTTTCTGGGTGACCGGAATTCGTGGCACTTTCGTCTCATTGAAAAGACCAGGGCACCGAAGTGGTCAAGTAGAGTGCACCATCAGTCACTCCAGCGGGTATATTTTGGGCACTGTTGTTTTGAGAGTGACAACTACACGGTACCCTAGTTAAAAGAGTAAGGAATCAGTGGAGTTTACTTTTTCACTTTCAACGTCTCTTTTAGTGATACCTAAGTGGTGGCGCAGACATGTCAGTTCTAAGTGCCATCCAGATTCTAATATTCACAACTAGTATGAGGTGTATATTCACCTGAGGTAAGGAATATTGCTGACCGGTTTTTTTCAGAAGACTGTTTGTGCAATGCTCACAAGGGGTTTAGAAATCACAGCTACATCATTGTATTTTATACTAAAGATGCAGATGCGACGAGCTTTAGCAAATGGTAACGGCCCGTTCCGTTGGGTCGGTTTTGCGCCGTACAATTTGCACCAAACGAATAAGATTAATATCGTTTGAAGATGTCGAAATGCATGTAAAATTAGAAGCAGCCTAAAACACTGAGAATATTAGTCTTCTGCTTGTAAAACGCGCTGTTGCAAGCAAAAGCTAAAAACGTTTACTAATTAGCCGTTGATTTAAGTGATTAATATAAGTAAAACTTATAAAATTGCCTTAGTTAGATGGTGAGGGAGAAAGAGGAAAAATGACCTTACGTGCTTCATTTATTTTAGACCGTTTGCATAAATTTTGCCAAATCTTGTCTGGCTAATGTTTATATCTAATATGTTTAAACCCGGTATCCTTTGGGAGCCCCACTACATTTTCCCAAACGCTAATGTACACAGGAAATTTTGATATTAGGGATAATATAGTAACTGTTTAATAGTTAGAATTCCTACTGAGTGCCTGGCTATGTATCCCTTCCTTAATACTCTTTGTATTTCTGAATTATTTTGCATAGCTAATAATAACATTTGTATTGTTTAAGCCGTTTACTTTTACAGAAGCATGATTGAAGGCACTTGGAGTCACACTTTGGCATCTATATAGCCTTGGTTTCCAAGTAGCAGTCTTTAGAATGTAATAATAATACTAGTCTAATTACTGAGTATTGCTGCTTGCCAAGATTGTGAAATTTGTAGGCAGCATGAGTTTCAAAAGTAGATGTTTTGGCAGCTAATTATAACGATCACTGTGGTTTAATAGCACTTCAGCATTCACAATATAGCCTGATCTGCTACCTAAAATTGCTTATACCCTTTTACTGCGCTATTAGCAATCTGTACAACGCATCAGTTAAGCTTATGTCATCTGACACTTTGCTCTCTGGTTTAGTTACCAGCGAGCCCCGCAAGCGCAGATTGGGGTCATTGCTGCTCGCAATCTAGGTCCGCTTGAAAGCTTCGAAGTATAGCTTTACAGCTGACTTAGTAAGACCATGTTATGTTTGCTACAACTGGTTTTAAAACGCATCTGTTTCTATGTTCAAAGTGTCAAGAACCACTGTAACCTTAAAGGTTATTAGCAAACGGGACGATCCAAAGCAGTCTCCGTTTATTGAAGTTTCCACTCTGGTAGATTGTATTTTTCTTTTTATAAACGCATACTATGGCTAGCATTTTATTTTTGGTATTGATTATCATCAATCTAGTATATTTACTTTATTTATTATTTCATATGAGTGTTCGAACATGAACGCTTGAAATGAACTGTATTCGGGCAAACCTGGTAGCATTTAATCTTTTCATGCGCTTAAGTTCCTGAAGGAAACCGTATTTATCTTCTGAGCTAACGCTTAGTTGTTGGTATTGCACAAACATAACTTTAACTCATTTGAACCGCTTATCTATAAAATAGAAGCAGATAAATAGGAATGCTTGATATAAGCGGAATATTAATTAGCTTGCTAAACGTTTGTTTCATCATGCGCTCCCGATATTTTAGAAGAATAATCATTGTATAAAACACTTGTTTGCGTTTATTTACATAGTTGGCTTATTAAGAAAATTAGTTATAGGTAGCTTTAAAATAACAATATCAAAATAACAATATCGTCATTATCATATTTCCCCTGGGAATATAAACATTTTGTTGCAAAGTTACAGCAATGTAGCGTGAATGTGCGTTATTGCTCTAACCTACGCTTATCGTGCCTTTTAGAAAGATATTGATAAAGGTTATCTTTCTAATAGTTAACCGACGTATATTCGGCAGCCATCCAGGTATGGTGAAGCATGTAGTAAACTTGCAATGACAAGGCCAGTTTGCTGTTGAACTAAGAACTGAATAAATCTATTTGTGTTAGCTTACTAAGGATACCATTGTGCACTAGTTCTGTCTAGTCCACGGAAATGTGAGACAGATTTTGCTTACTGCAATTTTGTTGTGCCAGCCACGGGACCCTGGTCTGTATAATGGACAGGCCTGCTACGCTTAACTCTAAACTTAGGAGCACTTCGTTAATTGCTTTGACTGAGTAGGTTTGGACTTTCGACACTACTGTACGGTTTTGAACCCTGACCCCTTAGACCAACGGATACATAAAAAGGCTAGTTAAGTTCGACCACCAGTGCCTTCACAATGTAGCTTAAATCTGGCGGGAAAACCGCGTGAGCAGTGAGCTTGTTCGACGTTTTGTTTACGGTACATGATAAGAAAATGAACGGCTCAGCAACGTTATTTCACACACCAGGCTCCGATAGCTCAGTCACATGTTGCGCATGTCAGCCCAACGACTCCCGCGACGTGCGTTGTTTGGGCTCCGGGGGTGTAGATGGAAGAAGAGGAGAGGTGCCCAAGCGATGACTTGGTCGAGAGGAATGAAGACACTCATTTCGTAGCTGTCCTCGCTTGGAGCGTCTCGGCTCCCCGGTTGGGGACCCAAAGAGAAGGAACACGGTTAAATGACTAAACTTGCTGATATGGCTAGGAACCGACCTCAGTGGCGTTCGTGTTGTGAGTCTCTTTGTCCTACGCCATCCCTCTTAGTTTCCTCCTCCAACCATGATCTCACTATTTCGCCTTATGTAATTTTGCACAGTAATTTTTTGGTGTTGCGTAGTAGCCGGCTGGTAGCTTACCGGAATGTTGCCCATCCGTTACCGGTAGCTCAGCTGAATTGCATTTTTGCATAGTTTTGTCCTTTTTCTTCTATGTATTATGGCACAATAGCTGAGGTGTTTCCCACCTCTAACTAACGTGTATATTGGTGATGAGGAGGTAGGTTCAGAGGGTTTGAAAGCAAATTCAGACCTCCACATAGGTTTTACTGGCTATTTAATTTTTTATAGACCATCGAGTTGCACAGGCAGCAGTTTGCACATAACGTATCACATGCAACTACTTTTAATAAAATAACGTAAGCTTGTGTAACTTGTTAGTGACAAAACCGCATTTAATTACCACAACCTTTTGTTTTACAAGGACTGCAGAAACCGTTTATTTTGTATGTTTATTTTGTAGCAATGCTCGTGATCATGGACACATTAAGATGCTAAAGTTAAAACAAGAAATGTTTTTAATGTATATTTTTTGTGGGGCTATTTTAACTTACTTTAGAACATGCTTTTCAAAACAACGCAATTTTGCCAATTGTTAGCGATTGTTGCAAGAAAATATTGCATTATTTTCTTATTAGCAATTCAGAAGTATTAGCAAATCTTGTTTTATTTGATTCATTTGCGAACTATTTGCTTTGACTTAAAGGATCTGAAACTTAATAAAACTTTAATGAAACACTAAACCAGTCCCCAACAAACACAAGTCGATTCAGGTTTATTCACTTACACCAGCAGGTCTTTTAATGTGAGTAGTTGTTATGTCTTTTGCAACTTAAGGGTCATAAACATTGACCCTAAGGGTACAATGGTATGCATATTGTTGACGACACTCAAAAAGACGAAACGGCCTCCTAGTGTACTTTCTAGTCATCAAAGATGTGGCCACAAAGCAGGTTATTCGAAACTAGCTATGTGGTTTAGTTCATGAAGAATACTAATTTGGGGAATCTATTTAGTATCTTATAGCCACCGTGGTATGTTTTTGATACACACAATCATATAACATATGGCGCTTAATTGTAATTTTATTAACTTTGTTTCCAACTAAGTTTAATGTGC